TATATATATATATATATATATATATATTACCAAAAAGGGCAAAGGATAATAGATCCATTATTATGTTAGAAGTTCAAACTATTGGAAAAGCATACTATGAATGACAAGTGGAAATATTACCTCAATAGTGACTTCTTCTACGGGCTCAAGCTTCCGACCATTTTTAGTTTTATACCTAATAAATCCATAGAAAAGTTCATTAAATCAATATACGAATAAAAGAAAATGGAAAAGATATGTGAACTCGAAGAATGCATAATGTATCATTTCAAAATCAGAACCATTGAACCACCAAACAGAACACTAACAGTATAATTTTTTTTGGCCAGATCAAACATTTTAAATGGGTAGACCTTCCAAGATCAATTCGATAAAAAGAAAGAAAAGACATTTGAAACATAAAACAATAAAATATTTAGCCGGATAAAACATTTGAAAGAAAAGTCAGCATTAAAACAAAATATAATGCATACAAGCTTACAGAATTTACTCAATATTCAACACCCATATGTAGTGCTAGGCAAGCAAAACCAAATTGTGTCAAAACTCAAAGCTCATAATGAGACAATATTTGGAGCCTTATTCAGTCCTTGAGAACTCACATGACTTTAGGCGGAGAGACAGATAACTCAAATCCTTCACGCCTCATATTCTCAATTAATATACCTGTTAATAAAGAATCCATAAGCAGCTGTGTAAGCATAGCAAATCATGGAGATTTTATATGCATAAAACAGTGAGGATCATGCAATTTCAAAGAAACAGGAACAAACCCAGTTGGAGCTCTCCTCTTCCCTGAACTTCAAATGATTCAGATAAGCCAGGAAGCACATTTATGGCAAGGTTAGTTTCAGCTTCAGAGAACAAATTTAACTAATTGTTTTAATGATATAATTGATACAGCACAATACATAATAAACATTGAGAAATAGTACATGTAAAACACACAGGAATCTTTATCGTTATATTCAAAAGGATACAAGAGTTCAAGAGATACTCACACTAGACAATCGTTGTAAGATTCCATTAGTCTGTGCAAAATATGCTTCTAGAAGCATTTCCAATTCCTCAACATCAAGTTTATGATAATGGTATTTGTCAAACTTTTTCGAATATGATTCATCACTAAAGACAAAAGCAACCATTGTGAACTGTGACTCGTGGAATTAACTTGAGTCTTATTTGTCAAAATATAGCTATTATTAAATAGACAAACATTAATGTTTTTTTTACCTTTGATCGTTCTCTTCAAATTCGTAATTGTACCCTTCTTTAAATGATGCCTTCTCCAATAAACGACCATTAAGCTTTTGTGTCAAGTACATTTCAGCCATGTTATTATCATCGTCCAACAAATGTTCTAGTTCATCTGCTATCTGTAAAATTCAAGATTAGAATCAGTTATTTTTTTAATTTTATTTTTGTGAGAACAACATAACTTTATTAAACAATTAATCAAAATATCCCTAGACATGTTGTCCATTTTGGTGCAAAAATACGCTCATATAGTAAATTCGAACTAAAATTAAGAACCCACATATCTAATCATCTTGATTCTTTTTGGGATTTCACATTTTCATGTTCACAAATCACAATATAGACTTTATGTTCCAACAAGAAATATCCTTGACAACAACACAGAAGCAAAAAAATGTTTTCTTAATTTCTTCTAGATTAAACTTGTACAGACCAGCCAACTCTTCATTTTCTTAGTGGAGAATTTACTGAGTAAATTGAATTGAGAACAAAACAGGGTAATGGAACCAGAACACTTGCTCGCAAGTGCATTTGCAAAATGAAATCCATAACAATCAGCATTTGCAGAAGGTTGCACTGTAAGCCATGGTGAAACACAAAATGGTACTACATATTCTTTGAGGTATTGAACAACTTCAAGACTTGCTTAGATTTGGTACATGTTGGCATCTATTTAAGAAGAGTGAAATGGCACGGTTAGTAGATAATACTATAATCCAATTTGCACAAGTGTGCTAGATTAGTGAATACAAAATATTATGAAATCCTAAAATGGCAAAATGGATCCCATGAATAAACTGTTACCCCTGAATCGTCCAACTCTGCAACCACAAGGGGTTTAGCAAAAGTATTCTAGTTGAAAATAAGGAATAATAAAAGAAATAGAGGAATTCTATTACTTTGCCTAACAATACATGAGTTAGTTCTCTATTTAATAGAGTAACATATACCAATAACGATGGTAAATGCTTAGTAGTTACAAATGAAGGAATAATAACACCCTTAATAGCTCATAGTTGTGTACTCTACAAGATGATTCATTTTCCAGAATTCTTATATAAAGTCTAGAAGTTTTCATGCAGGGGACAAGTGTTTTGCCATGAATACTATATACCTTTTGCACACGACCGAAAAGTGCAACCAAACGATTCTTAATCTGTCTTACACGTTCAAGATTGAGTGTGCTCAGTTGAGAGGTCAACTCATCTAAAGCTGGGTAAGCCTCTTTCTCCAATGTGCACATTACAGGGTCATAAAAAAAACATAATTGATATTGAAGATAGATAGTAGGCTTCTACCATTACAGGGTTTGAGGACGGTCAAATGCAGACAGCCACACTCCCTTGGGAGGAGAGGCTGAACCATGACTAGAACATGTGACCTAGTTACAATGCAATGACCTTATATAATGTCAAGTGATTGATTTCTATACCTTTGAAAGCAATGAGCAACAAACTTTGGCCACAACTTTGTTCCATTGTTCACCACTGTCATCTATATATCTGAGTACTGCATCAATACCACCTTTCTCAGCAATGATTAATAGAGAGTAAGACATGGATACAAAAGGTTTTGTTCCACCTGCTTGTTCATGGGTGTGGGTGACTATTTTATTTGTTGTTTTTGTAACTAAAACCACTTTTTGAACATAGAAATCAAACAAACCCTTAAACTTTGCTTTTATATGACTTCACTCTTTTCTTTTCAAACGAACATTGCAAGAAAAACACCTTGAGAAAGCTAACATTTATTAATTTTGTCATTATGTTTTTTAATAGAAAACTATTTTATTAAAGAGAAGAGAAAGATAGAATAAGTAAAATGAAGGAATGGATAATGTTTCCTGTAAAAGACTAAAACTAAGAAAAAACAATAGGAGAAAATAGAAAGATAAAAACAAAGAATGCAGCAGGGCTTATCAGCAAGTTAGAGATTGAAACACTCATAGACAGAACATCAAAAAGTGTGCTAAAAACACAGCTAGGTCATATGTGAGTTATGAGCATTTTGCATCATCAAATAGTTTTACTAAAAGTGAGAGAACTAGAAACTAAAAACTATAAAGAAAATCATAGTATATTAGTATTTAATAACTAGCTAGTAGCTACTGTACTTAGGTAGTTGTTTTTAACATATTTCCCTGCAAATTAAATTGCAAACCTAGTGAAAAAACTTAGAAAAGGCATGGCAAAGAATTATCAGCTACTAGTTCAGTTCTACAAACAATCCATGAAAAATAAAACTAATTTCTTTCGCATACATTAGATGAAGTCAGATAGAAGTCAAATAACTAATTTCTAGACAAGGAATCCTAATTTCATAATACTGAAAATTGAATAATACTTTCCAATGAGAATCATTCGAATCTTACTGCTGGAATGCCATTAGCCAATAGTGCTCAAGAAAGTCCAAGCAGAGAACGCCAACTTCTGATTGCTATCAGATTCAGATGGTGATCCCTGAAGGACCCAAAAGAAGGGGGATAAGAGGGTTATGAAAATTATCAAATGTCAATCAAGCCAAAACCGCAAAACAATATAAGAAGAATTCCACCAAGACATAACCCTATCTAATTTAGACCTAAAAGTGAAAATGACATAGAACTCGCTATGATCATGTCCCACATGGCAATAGGAAACATAAAACATGTCGCAGAAGCAATAGTTAAAGCATGGAGTCACCTTTTAAGTTGATTCTGAAAGCATAAAATGTTCCGGGTTACAGATATATAGAAAGTCTATATCTAACAAAGAAATGCACTAAAATGTCCATGAGCAGAATAAATCAGAACTGTAAAATAAATTTTAAAAAATTTTACATGTAAGGAATGATAATAAATAATGACCAACAAATTTGTCATCTCATCAATGAACATGGCAAAAAAAGTTAGAAGATATGGCTATGAAATGTTCAAAGAGGCTCTAAGATCTTACCACAGATACTTCTGAATCAGTATCATGGCCAAGTCTACTCAAGGTATCCATAACATTGACCTGGAATGATCATGTATAGTAAGTAAGCAGAAGTTATTAAAAGTGAAACCTTGTACCCTAGTCCCAGAATTAAAATGTTTTAACTACAGGTCATCTTTTTAGATCAAGATAATGTGTACCACATTGTTACATTATTAAACAATAACCCTGTCATAGTGATAAAATGCAGGGATGCAACTTCATTTTACCTCTAGATTTGATATACAGAGTAGACCAAGAGCCAGAGGAACTACCCAGTGAATATCCTTACTTTTTCGGTACAAAGTTCTGCCAAGATACAACCAAGTAACCAGATATCAATCTTCTTGTCATATGGAGTCCCAAAATAACCTATAAGGAAATATAATATTTGACAAAATTTAGTTCCAATGTTGAAGGTTTATATCATATCCAGGAATACAATGCAAATTTCCAAAATCAGAAACATTAACTCATTACATAGCAGTTTCACAGTTAAAAAACTAACACAAACAAGTGATATTTAATATATATAGAAAAATAATAACTATAAGCAACAGTATTCAACATCATCTAAAAAAACTAAGTGACAACAATATAAATAAAAGTCCAAATAGAAACTATAAAAAAGAGGAAAATATACGCAACATAAAATATAGGAAATAAGTATATGTGCCTAAAATGACAACTGATTAATTTGAGAGCATCTTGTAATAGTATTCACAGAACCAATGGCAAATCCACTTACTCGATAATAGAAATAATCATATAATCAAAGAATATGAAACTTGTCTGCAGGATCATGCTTATTGACATACTTGAGAAGCTTGATCTCATCAAGACTTTGGTCAAAAAAGTCCTTGTTGTTCTTTATAGTTTTAACACAAACATCCAGTAACATGATACCTTCCAACTAGTACGAAATTTAAAACAACATGAAAATCCTTATCCTCCTCAAAGCCAGTTCTGAGTACCACAACATCTTCTATGACCTCGTTTACACAATCTTCTATTTCGATGTTGTGAAAGAGGAACAAAATTTCATATACTAAATATTGTATACGCAGCACTAAAGTCGTCCCAATTATTCATGCAGGATGATTCGAAAACTTACATTAGAAAGGTTAGTCATTATCAAGCTGAAAAAATATGCGTAATAATAAAAACCAATTATTTGCAACAGCATCTCTGCCACATACTGGTATAACAATGCTTATACCCCAACAATCGCTCAAAATTGAAAGTAACACTAAAAAAATATTAAGAGCTCACATAAAGTGTGTCCTCATATCGGTACATAGCTGTTCCAGACATCGTCGGTGTCCCGCGCAGCCACAACCCCGCTCTCGATGTCGGCATGGAGATATATAGCAGCAACTAAGATGCTAATTGGATTCATGCCAGTGCGGAAGCATTTGTTGCTTAACCTAAAGAAAGCTTTGAAAATATTATAGGATCTGTAAAAAATTTAAAACATGCACAAAAAATGAAATCAATGAAAACAAAGCGAATGCACAAATGAATATTGAAAGTGGAATGACGAGAAGTTACGGGTGTGAGTTTTACGAATGTGCTTCAAACATTTTTCATCATGTCTCGGATTTCACCATTGAATCTCAAATTCATTTTCATTTTACTTGAAGAGAGTTTAATCGTGTGTGGATTTCGTGAAAAAGGAATGCTTGCCCTTCATAAAAAATGCGTTTCAATTTCATTTTACAGTTCATAATTTTTTTAAAAAGGAAATTAATTTATATTATTTCTTTTAAATTTAAATTAGTTTTATTAATTTTCTTTTAATTTTTAATTTAATCAAAGAAACACATTGATTACGTAGAAGTTAACCTATGACACGATTGGCTAAATAAAATGAATTGAACATTTTGGCGGTTTAAAACCGCTAGAAAATGTCATCACTTGAGGCAGTTAATATTCTGTCACGAAGTTAACATTTTTCGCCAGAAAAAAAAACCTCTAGTAATTGCCCAATTTTTTGTAGTGGAGAGGAGGAAATTTTTAAAAATTTTTATTGTTTTATTCAATTTTTAGAAGAATGGAGGAGAAGAAAAAAACTATTAAAATAATTTAAAATCTCTTCACTTCTCTTCCCTCCAAATCTCCTAATATTGTAGGAGAATTAAAATTATATTCAGACAGATTTTTCTCCCTTAATTTTATTTCTCTACTCTCTCTTAAAAATTTAATTAAACATAAAAGTTATAAAAATTTCTCCCCTCGTCTACATTTCTTCTCATCTAAACACTATATAAAGATCAAATAGTTACCCCTCCCTTCTCTTATAAATCAAATCACAAATAAGATATTACCTCCTTCTCTTCATTAAAATATATCATTTCCTAATATTTTTGACTAAACAAAGTTTGTAATCGCTTATCCCCGAAACTGAAATACCCCATTTTCAAAATATATATATTTAACTCTATTGTCGAATACAATTCTCTTAATGGTGGCGTATCAAGTATTATGAGTATTTATGTACACCCCTCCCCCAAAAATTAAAGAGTATTAGGAGTATTTATAATGATAGAATTAAATTTGAACCATACAATTATAAATAAACAGTTTGGATTAAAAATTATTTAATGAATACATGATTACTTATAAAAAGTCACGTGATTTTGTGATTTAATATTAACTATATATATGATAAATTAATTATTTTCTAAAACTATAAATAAAACTAAGATGATTTAATAAATGATTGTTTAATAAACAATAACTTTCACAAAAATATTTATCAATTTTACTTGTAAGAGTGATTTTCTTTGCTGATGCTTCTAGTATATTCCACTTTAGATATACCCTTTTTGAGGCTTGTAAAAAATTATGATCTTGCAGTCGAACAACATTTCTCTTCATAAACATTATTCAGTGAAACAAAAGAAAAACGGTTTCTTTTTGAAAGGCTATGCAGGAGCTTTGCATTATTCTTAGCTTATTGGTGTAGCCTAATGGTCCTCATGATTCCATTGTATGCGTTTTCTATGAAACCTTTGATAGGAAAAGTTTAATAACAAAAACTTTGACAAAGAGTAATAATGCAGCGGAAATTAAATCTTCCTACTTGTAAGAATCCGCAAGGAGCATTAACAAAATAGAACAAAAAATAGATAATCCAAACACACAAGAAACATAGATATTTAAATAGTGCTTACAATCAGTCAAAGTAAAATCGAGAACTGCTTATAATTGAGAAGCAAGAAAATGGAAAAGCTCCAAGATAAAGCTATTATTGCAAAACAGTTGAATATGAAATGTTACGTCTTATGAACCTACTGCCCAAAAATTAATCTGATTCAACAGTAAATGAAACTCCAATTGCAATTTAACAAATTCTATTTGGTAGATATGCAACATGTAACTTTCTCTTTTCTTTTCTCCCTATATTTTGCTGTTATTTTCTCAAATTGAGTCACTCTTACTTTATTCTAATCTGACCCCTCATTACAAGAATTTTGTGGATTAGCGAGAGAATTTAGCGAGGGATATAAATCCAAGCTATTTGCTCGCTAATTCGCGAGGGATTGGCAAGGAACACAGTTTCTCTCTAATCCCTCGCGAATTAGCGAGAAAATAGCTTGGATTTATATCCCTCGCTATTTTGCGACCAACCTTTATCTCCTCGTAAATCCCTTACTAAAGTTAATGCTTCTTTAGCGAGGAATTTAGTCCCTCGCAAATGCCTTGCAAATCCCTCTCTAAATTATGAGCCAAAATAAAAAAATGAATTTTTCATCTAGCGAGGGAGTTTTCTTGTCGCAAATCCCTCGCTAATGAATTATAAGTATAGCCCTCGCAAATCCTTCACAAATTAGGGAGGGAAATTTTTTTTCGCTAATCCCTCACAAATAAGAGATCACATTGCTTGCAAAACCCTCACAAATGTCTTGCAAATTTAGAGAACAAGACCCTCGCAAATTGCTATTAAATCCCTCGCAAATTTAAAGAATAAATCTCTTGCAAATTGTTTTATAGTGTGTTTGGATGGGTAATTTAAATGGAGTAATTCATTTATTTGAAGAATTTCAAATTCTTTGAGGTGAAATACGTTGTTTGGATAGAGAATTTATAAAGAATTTGAAATTCAAGTATTTGTAAAATTTCTTGAAATAGTAGAATTTCAAATTCTCCTAAAAAAGTAAGAATTTGAAATTCCTCATATTTTTTTTCTTTTTATTTCACTTATATATTTTTTATCTTATCTCTTATCTCTTCATTTTTTTAATTATTAAATATTTAAAAATATTTTAAAAATTATTTAATATTTAAAAATTAGCTAATATTTATTTTTATAAATTTAATTTAAAAGTCTCAACATATAAACATATTCTTAAAACCAATTTTACCATGGTGGAATCAAATTATCATATTCAACATAATAATTTAAAATTGAAGAAATTTGAATTAACTTATCCAAACAAAATATTTTAAGAATGGTAAAGTTAAAATTAAAGTAATTCAAATACTAAAAATTTAAAATTCTTTGAATTTGTAAAATTTTTCATCCAAACACACGTTAGAATTATTTTCCTTATCCTCTTATCTTGTCCAATATATATATACATATATATATATATATATAAAAGAAAAACTCAATAAAATTATTGATTAAAAGATAAAGTATACAAATTTTTATACTTAATTTATTGAATAAAAAATTTAATATATAACGCAATTACATTCATTAAATAACTCTTTTAAGATATACTTTTGAAGTAACTAAATTTTCACTCATATATATTTTTTAAAACCCACATATATATCATCATAAATGTTAAATATAATTTATATGTTTATAATATGAATTTAGTCCATGTATGTTTTATTTTCTTAATTTTGATAATTTAAAATATTTTTGTTTATTTTGATTTAGATATGAATTTAGTCTTTGTAAGTTTATGTTTTCTCAATTTTAGTTCTTATAAATTTTTAATTTTTTTTTGTCCTTATAAATATTCATTTTTCAAATTTTATTCTTTAAATATTATAATTTTTCTTTCACTTTAGTTCATGTAACTTCGTACTAACAACTAAAAATTAAAAAGAAAATATATAAACTTATACTGACTACACTTTAAAAAAATATTATAAAAATTGAAATTGAGAAAGAATAATCCTATAAAAATTAAAAATAATTTTAAAAAATTGAAAGGATCAACATTAAAAAATTGTAAATTAATATTTAGCTTATATTTCATATATAATATTTGAAAATTTAGAGTAAGCATAAATTAAATATATAAGTAAACACGATGATGATTAAAATCTTTACAAACTTGTATAATTTTTAAAACTCCAGATTTTTTATTGTTAGACAGGTTCACGTCAAAAATAATTATTATTTGTATGAGCATTTATTTATAAACAGGTTCACGTCAAAATGAAAATAAATTAGGGAATTACATAATATAAATAAAGATAAAAAATTATTCATATAAAAATGAATACAAGATAAATAAATAAATAAAATTGACCGCTGAAATCTCAATAATAGAAATACATTAATTTTTAAACTATTAAATATTTAAAA